TGCAGCATCAACAGGCAGCGTGAGGAGGTGCAGCATCAACAGGCAGCATGAGGAGGTGCAGCATCAACAGGCAGCATGAGGAGGTGCAGCATCAACAGGCAGCGTGAGGAGCTGCAGCATCAACAGGCAGGATGAGGAGCTGCAGCATCAACAGGCAGCGTGAGGAGCTGCAGCCACAATGTTGGGTCGGGCCACCAGTAATCTCAGTCTGGCGCCTGAAGACTGGATCAGCTCCTTCCCACTGATGGAGACAAAGAGATGAAGTACATAAACTGTAAGTGCAGCTTTTCTTCCAGATTTGACTTTGAAATAAGAGAAGGATTTCCTACGTCTCGTAATCCAGGCCCAGCAGACTGACCCCGTTGACAGCCAGGATCCTGTCTCCTGGCTTCAGCCTCTCATACTGGGCTGCAGGGGGGGCTGTGACCACTGCTCGGATAAAGACCCCCATCACCTTTACTGACGTGCTCTGAAATGGGAGGTCAATATGTCACGCTCTTACAACAAAGCTCTTTGGCGCTCCTGGACCTCTTTATAAAGATCACCGTTTTGTTTTGCAGTGAGGATAACATCACGTCTTTATTTCTGAAGGATTCAGAACAACAATTTTACAGCAGAGCACCATCATGTCTCTAAGATTGACATAAAATTATGTAAAGAAAAAAGAACAGATAAAAATTGAATTGCACCTTTGCCATTTTTTTTCATACCTTCCAGTTATGCAGTTGACATTCACTGAATGCACTTGAATTAAAATATTGGTAAGAATAAAATAATAAATAATCTGACTTTTGAGTTATTTTGTAAATTCTGTGAGGTAACCCAGTGAACAGTAATGGTAATAGTGAGAGTATTTCCTCCTCCATCCCATGGCTTGGGTTTGAAAAAATAATGTCCAAAACTTTGAGCATCCCGCCAAAAAGCAACATTAAATTTATTATTGAGAAATTGAAAGATCATTCTACCACAAGAGAAGATCTTCCAAGAAGCAACCAAGACACCAAAGCTAACCCTGCTAGCACTGAGCTGGTCAGCAGAGAGGAGAACTACCAGTTACTGCTGGATCAGAAACTCCCTCACTGTCCGAGTACAGAGAGTTAGAATTGGTTCTCACATCTCCACAGCCTTCAGCATTAACACCGGCTCTCCACAGGGCTGTGTACTGAGTCCTCTGCTGTGACAAGACGATGCAGGAAGTAGGTTCTGAAGCTGGTGAGATGGCGTGTGATAATACTGTATTATCTGTCATACATGTCACACCGCCCTATAAGTTGCATCAGTCCAAATATGTCTAATAAAGTGGAAATATCCATAAATGCGTCGCTTCGGCGTATAAGTTGCATCTATTATGTGTCATCGCTGACAACCCGAAAATGTGGGCTGGTGTTGTGCCAAAAATCGATTGGCAGCCAAATGGCGGCCGCAGGAGCATGCACGGGAGGACTTTAACAAGAATTTAACAAGATTAACACTTAAAAGTAATTATTTGTTTGCTCGACTTTATAGTAAAGGTGTGTCTCAGTTGAACTTTTACTTAATAAATGCACTTTAATTGTGAAATCAGCTGCATTTCACTGGGGCGGCGCAACAAAATGAAGCTGATTTGACGGTTGCTCCAGGCTAGCTGGACGAAGGTGGCAGAATATGGCAAGCCGATTGTGTCATTAATAGCCACTTTTACCTATTACACGACTCAACGGCATACCTTAATACTCTGCTACCATCTAGCGGCTGGAAATGGTAGTGTTCAATATTTTCAGTCAGAATGAATGAAAACGGTCATATCGCAACCCAAAATTGGTTTATAAATATGGGGAAAAAAATCTGACGTATAAGTCACAGGGCATGCAAATTATGCAAAAAACTGTGACTTATAGGTCGAAAAATACTCAGTGCTGAATACACCAAAGACAAAATAGCTAATTGTTGACTTATGGAGGAGGAAGTCCAACCTGCAGCCTAACAGCATCAATGGTTAGTGTGTGGAGAGCCTTTTGGCAGTTGTGAAGAAGACACAGCAGCGCCTCTACTTTCTGAGGAGCCTAAAAAAATCAATTTAAAGAAAGACCTGCTGATCATCTTTTACCGCTGCTCCATTGAAAGTGTGCTGGCACCGACTGTGTGCTTTTCCAGCTGCACCACAGCACACAAGATGACAATGCAAAGGATTAACAACCCAGAAAATTATCAATCACTCTATTCCCTCCCAACATCTACAAAGCATGCCGTCTCAGGAGGACACGCAGCATTCTGAGGGACAGCAGGACATGGAGTGTTTGAGCTGCTGCCCTCTGGCAGGACATTTAGGAGCTGGGAGCGCGAACAAACAGGCTGACAGACCGTTTCTATCAAGTCATAGCACTGATGAACACAAATATGTGACTGGACATTGTCAATCTTCTTTTATCAGTTCATAACTTTTGATAGAGCCTTACCATTTTATACACGTTATGTTTTGGATATGTTTTATAATATTTTAATAGGTTTAATAAGTCTCTCTTGAAAATGAGACTAACCTGTATAAATAAAGGTTAAATAAAAAAAATTAAATAGTGCTTGTTTTCAAATACTGTGATAGTGATTTCCTGTTTATTAGCATAATGTTTTCATTATGTTGCATGTTTTCATCAAGGGAGAGGACTGTGCTCCAAATTTATTGTGCTAAATGTCCTTGATTGATCCGGACCTCAGTCCATCTGAGAATATAAGAAGATTCAATTTTAGATTTTATAATTTTTTTTTGTTAGACATTTAACTTTATTAAAGTAAGATTCTTTTGGCTGCTCTCTTCTTCAGGGGTCACCACAGCGAGCAAACTCGCATGAAAGATTTGGCAATTAGTTTTTTTTGTTTTTTTTTGTCAATTCACAACTCATAATCAAATCAAAAATTGATTTAAAATCTAGATTGTTAAGCAACTACACATAAATTACTATTTTTGGCCTAGTTGGTGCAAATTTTAAGATTCAGCTGGACGAAGCATAATAAATTCTGGTTACGTTAATATTATAAAAAAAAAAAAAAATATATATATATATATATATATATATATATATATATAAAGGAACTTATGTTGTAGTATGTATTTTTTTTTCTCAAGTAATGTTTTTGTCAAACGAGTAAAAAAAAAGTTAAAATTAACATTTCAGTTCTGCTACAGAGAAGACTCGATTATTATTTTTATTTTATCTACATTGGCTTCCATTATCAGAAAATACAGACATGTCTGAAAAGAGGCACTATTGTGCTTCCATACTGGTAAATAATGTGCTTCCATACTGGTAAATAATGTGCTTCCATACTGGTACTAATGTGCTTCCATACTGGTACTAATGTGCTTCCATACTGGTACTAATGTGCTTCCATACTGGTACTAATGTGCTTCCATACTGGTAAATAATGTGCTTCCATACTGGTAAATAATGTGCTTCCATACAGGTACTAATGTGCTTCCACACTGGTAAATAATGTGCTTCCATATAATCACTATTGTGCTTCCGTACAGGACATCCATCCATTATCTTTTGCCTGCTTCTTCCATTTTGGGTCACGGGGGTCGCCGGTGCCCATGTCCAGCAATCACAGAGCGAGGGGCGGGGTACACCCTGGACAGGTCCCCAGTCCATCACAGGGACACAGAGACACTCAGAGACAAACAACCACTCACTCTCTCACTCACACCTAGGGACAATTCAGAGTTACCAATCAGACTAACATGCATGTTTTTGGACTGTGGGAGGAAACTGGAGCACCCGGAGAAAATCCACACAGCACGGAGAGAACATGCAAACTCCACCCAGAAAGGCCCCTAGCTGGGATTCAATTTGGTGACCTCCTTGCTGAGAGGCAACAGCTCTATCAACTGCACCACCGTCACTAACTGCATTAAATAAAGTAGGATTATTTTTCTATGTAAAATGAGATGCAAGAAAACATTTATCATTTAAAATATTGTCTTGGGGGCCAAGTAAGATTTGGTCCTCGGGCCTAGAGTTTGATGTGCTTAGGTAATCCTTCACTTCCATTCTGATAATGTGCACAGTTTTGAAAGATCCAGACATGGGCGTCATGTTTTGAGCAGTACGTCACACAGCTGATGCAGGAACTCCAATTAGTTCATGAATCAAGCTGAAAGGAAAAGTGTTGCTCTTTAAAATCCCCCTACTCCACCGTTCACTCACCCTTGTGTCCACCAGAGAAAGGCCAAGTCCTCCTTCTCCTCGCTCTAACTCCAAGCTGAAATCCTCGTCTGCCTCTGCTTTATCATCTTCCTCCTCTTCCTCCTTCAGCTCCCTAAGTGTTTTAGCTCTGCTGCAGTCAGTCGTCAGCTCAGCCAGACATTCGAACGCCAACACACCTACAGAGAAAATAAATGTTCGATATATTTCACCCACACGTTCAGCGTGCCATCACAAACTGAAAAACATCAGCTGCACCTTCACCGTTTGAGGCAGAGGATGGGAGAAGACTTTCTTCTTCAGCCTTCACCATCTCAACCCGGTCCATCAGATGGGGGGTGCCATGTGGGGTCAGGAGCAGCGTAGGTTCCGCAGCTGCCATCTTCAGTTCACTGCTCTTTGTCTCTTTGTGCTGCACCTCAAGATGTTTCAGCTTTTGGGCCAAAACCTGCAAACTATCACAGCTGAGCTTGTTGTGATGAGCAGAGGAGGGGGGTAGAGATGAAACCTGGAGTAAGACCAGCTCATCTGCTGATGTGTTGGACGAGTCCAAGCTGGACTTTTCAAGGATGTTTGCTTCAGTTTGAACGGCACCACCCTGCAGAAACATTTAAAGTGGGTCACAACAGAACTCACACATGGTTGAACTTTAAATATAAACCCAGAGCTAAAAGGCCCATCTTCATTGTAATTTTTAAACAGATTTAACCTTTTGGATTTTGAGTGTTGGGAGTACTTGTGGGCAGACTTTGCTTTTCCTGGGTTAAGTCTTTTCCCAGGACAAGTTATAGACAATTACTATCTCACCTGCTGCAGACGGCTCTTGGAACTTCTCAATTTAGAGAAACAGAGTTTCATTCTTACTAATTCTAATATATATATATATATATATATATATATATATATATATATATATATACTGCATATATCAACAAGTTTTACTTCCTAACTTGCAAATCACACATTTTACTATCTTTTACATTTTCTGCAGAAAAAGATCAAATAAATGTTTAACATTTAGTTTGAAGGGGTTTTATACAGTGGCATGGTGGCACAGTTGGTGATGCCTCTCAGTGATAAGGCTGCCAAATCAAATTCTGGCCAGGGCCTTTCAGGGTGCACTTTGCATGTTCTCTCCGTGCTGTGTGGGTTTTCTCTGGGTACTCCAGTTTCCTCCCACAGACCAAAAACATGCATGTTAGGCTGATTGGTAACTCTAAATTGTCTCTAGGTGTGAGTGAGAGCGTGAATGCTTGTTTGTCTCGTTTGTCTCTATGTGTCCCTGTGATGGACTGGAGACCTGTCCAGGTGTCCCCTGCCTCTCACAGAGAGCAGTTATAAAAAGGCAGAAATCAATTTTGTTTTGGCTCCATTTGAACTAGCCGTTAGCTCGTCCCTCCTGCCAGACTTGAATGTTAACATTTACTGGCTGAACTATCCAGTGAGGGAAGTAAAAAAAGGGACAAAGAATCAAATCAAGTTTACAGTCGCTTTTGTGCTCCGTTGCAGTTATTGTTACTTGTCACTAGATGGCACGGCTGCAACAGCACATGGCAGAAAAAAGAGCATCAGAGAGCGAACAATTGAGATTACAGTTCCTGCGCCAGAACTTTGTGATAATTATGATTGCTTTTTTAAAAGATGTCATTAATGAAGTATTGAAAAAAAAATCATGTCACCGAGATGAACAGTTCTTGAGATATTCTCATGTGTCTCATCACAGGAAGTGATGTCAAAGGGGAAACACCTGGATGTGATCCGAGTCTTACTGCGATGACAAGAGACATAATATAGGCAAAGCTGATGTTTCTTTAGATTATTTTGAGTCACTTTCAGAGAGATTAAAAAGGGTCAGAGTTCAAATAAGATTGTTTCCAGAAACAAAGACCAGAAAGGTCCCTTTTTTAAAGAGTTCCCCCTTTGGGGTCACTTCCTGTTTCACTCTGGCTGTGCCAAGTTCATCAGAAAATATGATAACTATGTGAAAAAATGGGTAAAATCATGTGTATTATGACAAATTTTGTAAATATTAGTGAGTTTTCTTCCACTTTGTTTACTTGTAATGCATGCCACAGGGACTTTAAGGTGTTTAAGAACAGAGTCTGATTTTACAGCACACTTCCTGTAATGAAGTTTGAGCATTTACTCATGTCTCCTTATTTTCAGTTCAATTCATTTTTTTCTGAAGCTCCAAGTCCCGACAGAAGTTGTCCCAGGGCACTGAACAGAAACATTCACATACATTATAAAAGCCAATGAGTAAAAGTTATTTATCTAAGGAGCAGCAGATTGTGTTGAACAAAAACAAAAATTTGTTTTATTATCAATGACCTTCATCAGTTTATTTTCCATTTCGTTCCAAATAAGTTTTACACCTTTATCGATCAAATGTCTTATGAAAACATGTAAAAGGATGAATGTTTATTGTTACCTGGACCTTCCCAGTCCCGGTGGTATTTAACTGGCTCTCAGACAGGGAGGTGATGAACTCTTTGAGCTTGTTCAGTTGTTCTCCTAAAGCTGAATCTGCTACTGTGCTCTTCAGCTGAAACTGGTACCCTTCATCAGGCAGCACCAGTGGATGGTGGGTGTCAAAGCTCTCCAGGATGTCAGCTGAGAACAGAGACACAGCATGTACAGTAAATGATGGGTACACATTGCCGTTAAGAATCCTGCACATGATTCCATTAGTAGGTGGACTTCTCACCAGTCTTCTGTGTCGCTGCTCGGTCCTGCGCTGATGGGGTCCACATATGTCTGCAGGGAGCTGTCGGTCTGTACCGACTCAGCAGGTGGTTCAGCTGGGCTGGGCTCAGGGCAGGGTACTCAGTGCGTAATGATGCCCAAGGTGTCTGAATGAGCACACACACACACACACACACACACACACGCACGCACACACACACACACACACACACACACACACACACACACACACACA